CCCGCGCTCACTTCTACCCTCTTTCTCCGGACATCGAGTCGCGCGGAGTGCGTCTATACTCTCTCGAACCCGTCGACTTTCACGTGCCTGCCATCCGAATCAATCTTTGTATCCCGTCCCCGCGGGAAGACGTTGCCGGGATAAGTGCCAGGAAGCTTGCACATTCTCCCTCCCCCTCCCCCCGCTCGCACACCTTTGACAATATCGACTGTATTCCGAGACTCGTGAGATTTTCATCGACGCATCATCCACATATTTTCGAGTGAAAGGCTGCGAACAACGCAATATTGCGAAAAGATGGGAAAATTTCAAGCGGGAGCGGGCTTTTCAACGGGAGCAAAGTGCATACATCATAATTTTATGAAAGGACCCGGTTTTTTCCAGCGGGGGAAAAATACGCGTGAAATAAAATCAAAACCGCGAATAATAAACAAATATAATGCAAAAAAAAGAGAGACACTCGACGGGGTTTAATATATAAATTTCAATCAAATTAAAATACAGAAAGGACCACGTCAACGCGGTGACGGCGGTTCTCAATGCGTGAAATTTTCGGTTGTTTATTTAATTGCGATTCTCCGCACGCTATCTCGCACACGGTGTTATTTTCTGTTTTTTGTTTCAAAAGAATCGAAAATAAACAACCAGCATATGGAACATCGTTAATTAAACACGCAACGTTGCTTCGCGCTTTTCCTCGACATCAAGTCGTCACCGAGATGATGTCACCGAGAATCCGATGCATTTAACTCGAAGAAGAGTCTTTTTACTCCGGCTTGTAGTTTTCACGCACAAAAAAAAAAAACGGCACACCAGTCGTGCCGGGAATATATTCACGTAGGGGAGCGCCGCACGGAAGTTGCGCTCGTACATCATGACGAGCGATCAAAGCGGGATATCCGCGTATTTTTCCTCAATAACCTGAAAAGCCTATTTTCCTCTCCGCGCAAGTTTCCTTCTTTCAGTCAATCGCGCGCGGGGAGGGGAGGGCACATCAGATACATCATATTGTGTAACAAATCGTAAGAGTTTCGTGAGCGCGCAGCTTTTCTCTGTATTTAAAGCAAGAAGACGAAACCACAAAGAGAAAGAGGAAAAGCGCAGAAAGCTCAGAACACAACAGACCTTTGCCAGACGATGCGAGGCAAAGGAGCGAGAGAACGTGGGGCGGGGGAAAAAGCGGAGGAAGGGTGTAGCGCGAGAGTTCTGCTTGCTTTTCGTACTTTACATGCCGGTTCACGCGCGCAAACAGCCAGCATACCGCTTTCTGTGTGTCGCTCGCACGTCGTGGAAACGCCGTTGGAAAGACGTTGCGGGCGAAGTGAGAATGTAAATCAGACGACGCGCGAACCCCCGCGCGCGTCGAGTTACATGACTCAACCAGTCCGGAAACAGTCCCGGCGCGTCTTTAACACGACTCGCGATGTAGACACACAAGCTAGCTCTCAACGTTGTTGGCAGTTTCGAACTTCTTTCCGTTTATCTTGCGATGCAATATTCTTCAAACGCGTCTCTTCTTCCTCTCTCGATTTAGACGAGAGACAAATAAATTTTTGATCAACAACGATTTTTTTCGCCACATTTCTCTCAAAAACTCTCTCTTCTCAAAAACGTTCTTTCTCTCTTTCATTAAATGTTTGCGAAAAAAATGTGTTTGCGTGCGTGTGTTTCTCTCTGTTGAGACGGTTGGTAAAACGAGAAGGGGTCCGCGACGACGTTGCTGTGTGTGTGTGTGTTGGACTTTTCGTGGCAAAGGGATCCGTGATGCGGAACCGCGCGATCAAATTTCGCCCATGCACGTCGGAAATACGATTGAAAATATTCACGAAGGATGCGAGAGAGTGTCGTGGCGCATCATAGTGCCAAAGGATCGTCCGTTCCTCCGCGGTATTCGAGACAGATATATCCCGTCGGGAGAGAGCGTCTGTGTGTGACCGGGTTCGATTGATCGTTCCTATCCTCTTGGCTTGGCGTGTATATTCGACACACAATGCGGCTCGACTTTAATATAACGCCGATATTACCGGCTTGTGCGGAAACGCGGCGAAAAAGAGCAACGTGAGGGAGGCGAGTTGCGCGAACTAGCGCGCAAGAAAGAGAGAAAAAGACGGCGAGAAAAACGAGAAGGAAGGTTGACGTGAAAAGAGAGCTTCGAAAGTCGCGCGCGCGGGTTTTGAGGGAAACGGTACTTTGAAAAAAAAAAAAATAAAAAATAAAAATAAAAAATAAGCGGATGGAAACGTAATATCGACGAGCGCGAGCAGCTTTTTGGAACCAATTTCGCTAACTGGCTCGCTTCGCCAGTGAATTGCAAACTATCGTTAAGCGATATCGGTTATTTGCATTTGCGTTGCTCGTATCGCGTGTACTCGTTTACGCAGTACGCGAAAAATCACTCTCTCTCAATCGCCGAAAGGTCGAGGAGAAAGAGAGAGAGAAAGAGAGCGAGAGCGCGCGCGCGTACGCGCTATAAAATGTAAATAACCAATTAAATGGCGAAGCTGCATTTAAAATGACGTCGCCGGGAAACATGTAAAGCTGCCGAGAAGCTAGCTTAGGGATTACTCGTCTTTAAATTATTTTCCGTACCAATTCTTCGTCTCACCCGGTAATCGCAAGCCGGCTGCAGCGTGCATGAATAAATAAGACGGCTACGGCGCTGCTTGGCAAGAGAAGAGCGCGCCCTCAAAGAGAGTTACCTTGTTCTGGTCACCGTTAACGACGAAGAAAGAGAAAAAGAGAAATAATGTACAAACTGCCGCGCGGATTGAAATAAGTTAAATCCTTTTATAGACTTCCGGTTTTAAAGCTTCAATTTATTTTCATAGAGACCAGAAAATTATTTATACGCGCGACTATGTATCACTCTCTAATTGACTAATTACGAGTTTTTAATTGGTCATTTCCGCGTCTCTCGCTCCTAAAGCTCGCGGACGAATGAATTTTACAACGCGGAGAAAATCGCGTTGCGATTCATTCATTTCCGAAACGCCGTCTACTCTTTTCTGTTTTTTTTTTTTTTTTTCTTCTTCGTTTCTATTCCGCGCCGCGCCGTCTACTTGGGCGCAAAGAACTCTCTCGGCCGCGATGCGGGCTTGATTTCAATTAAGCACGCTAACTCCGCCGAGACACCCTTTTTTTCCACGGCGCCGCAGTGTGTCGCCGATGCTTGCATTCACTGAGCTGAAAGAAGTCTACTTTCGCGGCGCGCGGCAACGGGACGCGGGCGCAAAAATTTTTGCCCCGCTTAATTCTGGTTCCGACAAGAAACACGACGCGACGGGACGAACAACGAAATGATGAAATACGACATGGGTCAAACACAGGGAACGTTATAATTCACTTGAGAAAAGAGCATTAAATAAAAACCGGTCAAGTTGGAAAGGAAAACGGATGGAAAGGGGATCGAGAGTGTGGCGAAACGCACAAGAGTCTAAATTTCAAATTGCGTTGTTTAAAATTTACCGTACGCGTTTTTGTCGCTCACGCAGAACTGATTATTACGTCTGAGTTTCGGGGGCTGACATTGTCGAATCGACATTCACCACGTCTCCATTCCCGCGGCTTAACGTCGTCAATCAAGTGGATACCAGCGCCAACCTCCGGCAGAAGCTTTGCGGTCCATTCGTGCGTGCATACGTACGAGCGCGATTAGATAGACGTGCACGTGGAAACGCGCACGGATCCGTCACGGGGAGAGGGAACGCAAAGGCGAAGGCGATGTCTCCGCAGACACGAGGGAGGGTGGTCTCTCTCGTGTTCGTGCCGAGCGACGACGCCGATATTATCCCGGGGCTCAGCGGGAGAGACTCAAGAGAGAGAGAGAGAGAGGGAGAGAAAGAGAGAGAGAGAGAGAGAGAGATCGACGTACGGGCTTCGTTCCGCTGGAAAAATATTTATTCGACCGCGATGGAAAAGAGAAGCCGAGTACGCGCTGCTCTCCGTAGACGTAGTGTGTGCATCGGCGGCCCTTTTGGGATTCGCCAGTAACGAGAAGTCTCAATCCGCTTGAAGCAGCGAGCGAACACACCGGCCACGGGAGTCCGAGCAGGACGCGCTATACATGTGTGCGCGCGCGCGTGTGTGTGTGTGTGGAAGGAGGTAAAACATGATCCGTACGCCACGACGCCGGAGTCTCGTTTCGCGTCGAGCGCTTTTTGCGAGCAAACTGCGCGACTGATATTGCGGCAAAGAATGTACATTCGCGATCCCGTGTGTGTACATACACGTGCGAGCCTCTCTCGCATGCGTGTGTGGGGTAAATAACACACGCGAGCGCGTAATTCCGACATCATAGGCGCCGAAGCCGCATTCGGAAAATGTTTGTGGAGCACGTAATACCCTTAAACGTACTACTTTGTTGATGTTTTATGCACTTTCAACGTTTCTTTGAGAAACGTTGAGTCGGGAGGATATTTGTTCGATATTTTTATCTGAGAGAATTTTAACCTCGCGATTGAAGAAGGTTTTACACCACTCATTCAATTTTCTTTGAGAGTAACGCGCGTAAAACATATGCAAAGAGTTGTTTGTCACATGTAAAAATATACAAGGAGAAAATTAAAAAATTCTATTTTTCTTTTTTAACGAACTTTCTTTTAACGTCGTAAATGACCGCAGAGGCTTTCAAAACGAGACACACGGGCGGCGCTCTGCGTCCAACACCGAAGCGGTTCCATTTCGCGCGCGCGCGCGCGAGCGCGTGTACAGTCGAGAGGAGAGCGAAATAAATCGACGGTCTGCGGTCACGGTCGATTTGATTTCGATCCCGGAATAAGCGAGAGCTCCAGAGTGGAGGCTCGCGTTAATTACCGGCAATTTCGGCGTTTCGCCGCTCTTTAAACACCGCCTTGGGAATTAAGCGCGCGCGCGCTACACAGAGCTCGATAGCGAGAGAATAAGCGGCGAAGAGAGCGAACGGGGGATAGAGAACGCTCGTTTCTTGCAGCCGTTTACAATTTATAATCCTATTATAGGATTCGGGGGGGGGGGATACTCACCGGTGTACGCCACTTCAAGTCGACGAAGCGAAAGACCCTCTCAGAAAGTACGGACTCTGAAACGCAAAAACGAAAGGAATTTGAGTACGTAGTAGGGTAAAAGCATCAACCGCTCGGTCGCTAATTATGGCTATGTTAATTGCGCGGCGTGCGATCACAATCCGCAAATAAGGATATTTATATATTGACATTAACGATATATAACAAGGATTATATTATATCTTGACATCGCGATGTGTTTTGGTTAAAGAGTGTTTATAGCTTTGCTTTAATTAAATTTCACATCGTATCACGGAAAAAACATTTGCTAAGCCTGTTGAGATTTTTGTTTTTTGCCAACTAAAACATTGCGTTAATGAAACAAAACATTTTTTACGTCTGGCCGTGATGTCTTTATTGCAATGGATTTTTTAACTTCCACGGAGGAAATTTAAATTGGATATTTCCTATGTGTTATGCAAACGCCAAGCATCGCCAGATGAATTTTCAAATTGAATTCAATTTAAATTATTATGTGTATTAATTTACACATTTAAAATTTGTTAAAAATATAATAGATCCAAATTTTTCTTGCTGACCATGTAACAGCGAAACTTTTTTTTGCCGTGATCGGATTGTTTATCGGTGGCGCGCGTCTCGTCATTTGTAAAACTGTGTTTTCACAACGATAATAATGTTTAATCACGACGTTACTTGCGGAAACGAAACGAGATGTAACATTAATACCGGATATTCCTAGAAAGTACATCATTAAACATCAGATATTCGTACGAAGTACATCATTAACGGCCTTATTCACGCGAGACGAGAATAGCGGCGCGTTAATTGATTTTTCATTTGACAAAGCCGCGCCAGAAGCACTTGAACGTCCCGTAGACGGAAAACGAGCAGCAGTTCGTGGTGGAAAATCCTCGTGAAAACAGTCGGCACATCCGGCAACCGGTGGGATCTGAAATCCTCTCAGCGGAAATCTTTCTCCGTTGGAATATTTAGCGGCCAAGCGAATCGCAACGCGAATACGATGAAAATGGTGGGGAGAAAATCGCTCCTTTCGTCGATCGAATTTGAAAGTCTCTCGAAAAACACACGTTTAATTTAGCGCGGGAAATACCGCCGCGCTAATGTTTTTATCTAAACTACGTGCTATTTTTTATTTTAGTTTTCACAAAAGAGACCGTATTCAGATTGAAAATAACGCGCGCGCGCACGCGCGTACAAACGAACGTCCCATTTAACTTGCAAAAGACACGAATTATCCCAGTTACAGTTTATGTAAATGATAATTCGCGCTCAAACATAGAGCTGTTCATTTTAACGAAGTCGCGAACGAAACGCGAGGAACGCGGAAGTTCCAACAAAATTAATTTTCTCGCACGACCCCTTACAGTCCCAAAACGGAAATCGCGCGCGGACCCCGGTGCAACTAAACGCGGAGGCGCACGTGCAATTCATTTTGCTCATTCATTATAGATTTTAATACCAGTCGCGTCGGAGTCTCATCATAAATTAAATTCTGACGGAACTCCGACGTTCGGCGCAGTTCGAATCCGTGTCGGAAACGCGCGATGCGATATCTGGTTGGGAAACGCCGATCGCAATTTTTTTTTTTCTTTTTCGCGGAGGAGATGTGGTTTCGATTTCCAAAGTAAAATAAAAAAGCTCTCGCACGCATTGTTTGTAGTTGAATAAACTAATTGTAATTTCGCGCTGATTTTAATCTCACCTGGGCACAACCCGACTTTAATGAAATTCTCAAACGAGCAAACGTATATATACATTTCGAATTAATATTTATATTCGACATCACAAAATGAGGTATTAAATGAGTTATTTAATAGAGTGTAGTATGTGTGTGTGTGGAAGATGTGCGCATCGGCGTGCGGGTTTTATAATACAATGCGATATGATTTATGTGTGTGTGTGTGTGTGTACACAATTTACTTTGGGCACGTGTTATTTTATGGAATTTATTAAAATGTTATTAACTCGGGCGCGTAACGCAGAGAATGTGACCGTATAAATGCAAAATGAAAGAATATTAAAACGAATCCGAGGCGTGTGATTGCAAAAGATATTTTATGCGAGCTACGCGATGGCAAATATTGGAAACTACGCCAATGTGAAATCGCCGGCGAACACACGATGTGTTGCGCGGCGTACCGGTCCGCGTGTGTTCGCGTGACGTTCGCACACTCTCCGACATCCCGGAACATATCCCAGAAGGGGAGAGAGAGAGAGAGAGAGAGAGAGGCACGAGAAGAGGAGAAAGAGAGAGCCATTAAGTGGCACCAGCCAGTTTTCCCGTCGTTTCTTCGCGATACCGCCCGGCTGTGGCAATATATTTCCCTCCCTTTTAATTACACGCATTACTTACGCTCGTTAATTAGCCTCTAGCTGAGGATCAGAAAGCCGGGGAGGGTGAGAGTGCCAGACATCGGATGCAAGCATTTGCCTCAAGCAGCTTACGCTCCCCACACGTTTCCCTTTTCCCAAGCCCTCTGCCCATAAGAAATCTCTCTCGCTTGATTGTCGATATCGTTCTTTTTTTTTTTTTTTTTTTTTTCTCAAGAACATTCGAAATATTAACTTTTACTTCGCAACTCAAATTAGGGGTCGATACGAGCCTGTGCTAGATGTACGTGCACGTATGTATTTTCCTTTTAAACGTGTGAATTAATTAACACGTGGAAATTCGAGTTACATTCAATTCAAAAATTCATTTAAGATGTTTGGCATCTTATATATGTATAAAATTTATCTTCCTATCCTACCAGAAAAAGCGTGTGTGTAAGTAATCACAATCGATTCTCTCAATATTGATTGTTGCCACTTTAATCTCGAAGTTGATTGGACGTGTTTCTTGGATGTGTTTCTCGATTCATGTCGTAAATCGAATTAAGAGGCGCGGCAATGCCTCGCGCCAAGTTCACGCGCAACAAAGTCGCACTCGAACGTGTTTTTAAAAACGTAACTAAAGTAATGCGACAGAGAAGTGAGAAAAAACAACACGTGACTAAAGTCACGTGACTTTACTTTTGTCACGTTTTTAAAAACACGCGAGTAAAATAAAATCACGTGACTGTAGTCACGTGTTGTGTTTTTTCACTCCTCCCTCTCAGTATTTTTCGAGTGTGATTTTCATGCATTATTTTTGACATCTCATACGTGTATTATATGGTTTGTAAGACGTATTATACTAGCTGTCATCGCAGTGACAAGTTGTGACACAACACGTTAAAATAAAAAATAACAATAGCGTGCGCGTAGCGCGCGTCTGTGTTGTGCTAGTGAAAAATGTAAAAAACTCAAAGTGAAGAAAACTCCTTGGTCAGGAGTTGAGCAGATCTTTCACAGAACCATCGTTCTGTGCATTATTAAAAAAAATATCTGCACGTGCGGCAAATAAGCTCGTAACGACCTTCAATTTAAGTCGCGCATTACCACGAGCTTTAACATTTTATTCATTTTGTAACTTGAGATAAAAAAAATAATAGAAATTTTAAATTATTGTAAGACTGATTTATCATCCTTGAGAGTAGCTTCAAGTAGCTCTGAGCGATACATAAGATTGACGTAACTTCGACAAGCAGTTAATCCGTTTATAGTCGAAGTAAATAGAATCTTTATTCCCCCCGATATTGATCATAGAGAGAAACAGTTTCGGACGGTCGTTTGAATCTACTTTAACGTGATTACCGAGAATCTCTCCGGAACCAAGTATGGGATCATCACCGGCCGAGTCCGAATAAATCCATAAGTATCTTTATACGTCACGGGAAAAGAGGGTTTTATACTTTCAATTCGAGAAGTATATATCGCGAGGAGGAGCCCCCTGCCTCCGTCGAACGGAGGCAGAAACTCGAGTTTCTCTTTGCACAGTACTTTTCCCTACTCTCTCCCTCCCTCCGCGCCGGCTTTCTTCTATCGTATCTGAGAAAGCCGACTTCTTTCCCGCTTCAAAATCTGAAGAAGCCGACGCTACTATCCTCCCCTCGGAGAGGCAGACGACAACGGAGAAGAGAAAGAAGAATAAGATCGTCGGTAAATCGTCGGCGGAAAATCGGTCCTCGGTGACATTTATACGGTGACATTTCGCGGTGCATTACTATGATATGCCGAGCGCCCGGTACGGACGGTTGAAAGGGAATAACGCGGTAGGGACGCGGGGAGAAGAGGCGCGTTTTTCTATTTGCATCGGGGACTCCCTCTTATTCTCTCGTCTTTCTTCGCGGTCTCAATTACCGATGCGCCATTGTCGGCTGCTTCTTTCAATTTGCCGAGTAGCGACTCTCATGGACGGTGAAGGCGGTAAGCTACTTAGAAGAATGAGGACCGGTGAAGATCGATGTGTAGATCGAGGACGCGTTTGAAAAATCGTACGGTTCGTTCGAACGTCAAGCATGCTTCGGGCTCATTGTGATGCAACGACGCTTAAAAGCACGACGTTCAGTAAAAATATGAGAAAAATTGTTCTTCGCGACGTCGTCGCGTTTCTCTCCGTTCGGTTTTCCGCCACGCGCGGAAAAACCAAATCGGCAGAATATAATAACGGAATATGTTGTTTGACGTGTATAGAGTATATATTCTCCATAGATCGTAATCCACGTCTCACTCCGACGACACTGTTCTTATCGAGAAGATGAAGACACATGCGACGAGGGGAGCTATCGGGGGAAACGCGCGCGGAGTCACGAATCCGCGCTAATAATTTCACACAAGTTGGTCAATAAATTTCCAGTAAGGAGGTACCGACTGTACCGTGAAAATCGCGCAAGCGCGTATATAGAGAAACGCGGAGAAAGAGAGATTTTGACCGTATATCATAACGCGCGGCGCTCTATGGGGAAAAAACTTTACCACCCATTGCTAGAAAATATAGCACCCCGCGGTACAGGAAGGATCCTGCGGAGAGAGAGCGCGCAGCCTGCCGCTGTCTCATGTGTGCATATAACTACTGGTTATATAGTACAAGTGAGACTGCGATAAAATATAAGCCGGGCCACAGCCGAGAGAGCTATTTCGATATCTCGGACAGAATGAAATATTATAATGTATC